AGTTGTGATGTGGAAAACATACAGAACCTCCCCAAACTGTGCTTGCAATTTTAATATTTTCTTCTGTGTCTCAAGTTAGAACTGTTTCTCCAAACATCACACAGTTTCATCACACCTAGCAAGAATTTTCCATTCAAACTATCAGTTGTGAGATGCAATGTACAACTTAAAACATGGTGGTGGTTCAGTTCTCTACAAACATGCACTTAAACATGAAAGAGGCAGGGGTGGGAGGGTGGAGGGAGATGGTGCTTGACAACTTTGAAACTCTGTTCTACCCATTATTTTTTCCCCTCCCAAAACAACAATATGAAAAATTGAAATTATGCCCCATGGGATCATCTTTGGTGATATCACCAGTGGAGTGTTCCCAAAGACATTACAGTGCATCTCTTGGAACACTGTGTGTATTAATTAGTCTTACAGCTTCCAGTAACTGAGGTATGACATGAGAGGTGACTAACAAGTCTTTGGCATTACAGATGGTTGTTTGGAATAATCAGTTACCAATGATCTCAAAATTGTTTGGATGATTTGGACATTCCAGATCTCATTTTGGCTCCTTGCAGGAAAAGAACATAGCTTGTTTGTTAAAGGTTTATCTTTGATCAAGATCTGTGCTGCAACTAAATGCCATCAAGTTTGCTCACTCCTTGTTTCACACTAGTCCCTGGCAGTCTCCATTGCTTACACAATAATTCACTCCCAGGCTTTTAAGTGAAGTAAATAAATTATTTATTTTATGCAGGAAGCCTGAGAGCAGAATAGCAGATAGAAGAGACTACAAATATGAGCCACTCTACTATCCCCAGGGCTGAAGGCTCATCCCCTGACCCACAGACAGCACAACCAGATTAGATTTAAGTCTACTTGTCTGACAATTGGAATTTTAACATTTTACCAGTATGACAAGCTATAAATTAAGGGTATAAAGATCTTCACTTTGACCTTGGTTTGGTGCACACAGACATGAGAGTCAAGTATACCCAGAGTAAAACTTGAAGGCCAGCTGGCTCTCTGAAGTTTGACTGTTTGCTGAGAAATTAGAAATAAAAACAACCCGAAACCTAGAGGGGTTTGAATACAGTTGTTTTCCCAGCAGTCACAATTGGGTCCATCAGAAAATCCTTAGCTAGCCCACCAGACCTGTCTGGATTTTCATACTCTATTTTCTTGCACTACAGATTTTGTATACAAATTTTGCTGCCAGACCACAAACCCATTCTACAGACATGTATTTAGAGCCTGGGCCACAGGTCTCCATGGAAAATCTTGCTGTTTGACTCACCTCATTGTAAATTATTTTTAATATCTCTTGGAAGGTATTTATTACTGCATTAAAGGCATAAGTGCCTTACGTCATATAACATAAGCATTATTGTCTCTCTCAAAGCAAAAAGCCAACCATAAAAACATAACCCCAAGCAGCCACCATGTAAGCAAATACTTACTCTGAAATTGTTATTGTTGTCAGCACTCACAGTAAGCAAGTCCTACATGGAGTAGAGACTCCCCATGTTCCAATTTCTGCCCATTGTCCCTTCTCTTTCTGCTGCACATCTCTAAGAAGAGTTTGGCTCCATCTTTTTTTAGACCCTTCCATGAGGTATTTGTAGACAGCAGTTCCTGACCCAACCATTTATCTAAAAGCCCAATTAAAACTATGGGTAAATCAAACCTTCTTCATCACCCTCTCTCACCAACGCAATAAATCTTTCAAACTATATATTTCAGACCATTCCTGTGACTGCTTTTCTTTACTTTGCACAGGCCTCCAATCTATAAATTGACAAAAAAAATCAGGAAGGTAAAGCCTTGATGTTGATGCATTCCTTTTTATAAGCCAAAAAGGACACTTCATGCAGACAAACTCCTATTATTCTTTCCTATAAAACACACCACAAATAAGCTGATCTAGGTGCTTTAGCACATTACAATCTGATGTGCTGGGCAACAGCTCAGTTTAAGAAACAGTCAACACCAACAGATTGTCAGCTAATAAACATATTTGTCATCTAATGCTTCAGGATCCCCAAGCTAATAAGGAATCCCACAGGACCTCCTCAGGTTTGTGGTTTGTTTTTTTTTTTCCCCAATCTTCTTCCTACATTCACTTCAGATCTCACTTACATACTAGACCATTTGTGCCACAACAGACTCCAAGCCCTAGCCTCACGTTTTGCAGGCTCCTTGGTGTTACCTGCTGTTGTACCATTTTAGATTCCATGTCATACCATGCTGATTTCTGCCACATGAAGGCACCCCAGCTCCAGAGTTCCTTTGATCTTTTCAAACAACAAGGAGCATTTTCATTATTGCTGTTTTTTTGGTATTTATCAGTCCCATATCAACACTTCCATAAAGATACAATCCTCAGATTTAAAATCTGCCATACCTTTCATATGAACAGGCAAAATCAATCACAGGGGGAAAAAAATACAGCAAATTTCACATCTACATCAAGCAGTTCAAGTGTTGCATATCATCTCCAAGGAGGTCAGAGCTAAAAAGACACTGAACAAAAGAAAACAACATACCTATTCCTTCATGCAGTGGCTGCAGGACTTATTAAAGTGATGATTGCAGCTATGGTGGCTCACTGTCCTCATGTTGCTTCCATTCTTAGGAGGTATTTCTTCCCATTTCTCATCTTAGTCGGCAACATCTGTATGGTTTTAACTTCCCATTATGCTCATTAATGTAACTGTTGTACATCTGCTATCATTTGCTGGGTTTTAATAAACTGGTCTTCTCCTTGAGCCCCTCATCATCTGTTTCTTCATTCCCTGAACCTACCCTAAATCCTATGATACCAAAAAATTTGCTTTCACAATCCTTCTCAGGCAGGTTTCATTAAAACCTCCAGCTGTGGAACTAATGTTACTAATAGAGCACTAAAATCTCCACACCTGGAGACCTTGCACTGGCCCTGCTGGGAATCCCACCACACTCAAACCTCTTCAGGAATTTGTACACAACCAAACTTTTTACTTCAAGCAACATTTTTAAAAGTCCCCATGATCATATGTTATCCTCAAGACCAATGTCAACAATCACTGTTTGTGCCTGGATCCCTCACAACACAGTTCTACACATCTAAGCAGAGGCTGTGGAAATGCCTTAATACAATTTTTAAAAACTAAATTCCACACTATCAATTTATGTATTTATTCCTACCAATTAATGGACAGAGTTACTAGGAAATTAAACCAGAAACCCTGCAAAAAGAGGTCTGCTAAAATGCCCTAGGCTAAGATAAAAACTTCATGCAATAACCCTAAAACCTATTTGCATGGAACAGCACAAAAGAGGGCCATGGCAAGGGCAGGATGTGGACACATCTAATTGCTTTAAGTCTGAATTTTCCATGAGATCTCCCAAGAGCAAACACTACAGCCACTTCCAGCTTTCCTTCTGCATGGAGTTGTGAGTCAGCTACCTAAGCAGCAAAACTAAGTGGACACCTGTGAGGTCTGAACAGTCCTATGTGTCCTCCTGCTGCCAGAATACTTGACATTAGGCTATGGAATCAATCCCAGACTGGTTTGGGTTGGAAAGGATCTTAAAGAACATAGAATTCCAACCCCCCCTGCATGGGCAGGGACACCTCCCACCAGCCCAGGTTGCTCCAAGCCCCATCTAACCCACCCTTCAACACTGCCAGGGATGGGGCAGCCACAGCTTCTCTAGGCAACCTGGGCCAGGGTCTCACCACCCTCACAGCAAAGAATTTCTTCCTCATATCCCATCTAAATCTACCCTCTATAAGATTAATACTGTTCACCCTTGTCCCATCCCTCCCTGCCCTTGTCCCAAGTCCCTCCCCAGCTTTCCTGGAGCCCCTTCAGGCACTGGAAGGTGCTCTAAGGTCTCCCTGGAGCCTTCTCTTCTCCAGGCTGAACACCCCAACTCTCCCAGCCTGGCTCCAGAGCAGAGCTGCTCCAGCCCTGGGATCATCTCCGTGGCCTCCTCTGGACTCTCCAACAGCTCCATGTCCTCCCTGTGCTGGGGGGTCCCGAACTGACCCCAGCCCTGCAGGAAGGTCTCACCAGAGAAGAGGGAGATAATTCCTCCCTTGACCTGCTGATCACACCTCTTTTGATCCAGCCCAGGATATGGTTCTGATGGTTTAAAGTAGCAAGCATTGCTCATTTGTTGTTTTCAGAAAGTCTTACGTTCTCTGCAACCAGAGCTGACCACAGAAGACCTGCAGGGCACAAGGAGCCCCCTGAAAACCCTTCTGCTCCCATGAAAGCACCACATAAAAAACACGTTAATGGCAAAAAGAGCCACTAAGCTACACTCCAGCCCACTAAGCTTGGGCACATCTCTGCACTCAGGTGTGTTACAGGTGAAGTCTCACATCCGCCTCCGTGTCTCAGTCACAGGAGCAGGGTCCTGACCCTACAGACCAACTTTTCAGGAAGAGCCCTCCCCTCCTCTTCAGCTTTTCCCTCACACCCCATCTGCCCTAAGAGCTGCAGCCGCCTGGACAGCACGCTCCACGCCCGCTGGGTGCTTCCCGGCACCCCGCGTGGAAAGGCCTGGCATCACGTAGCAGCAACTCACTCTTAACTCGGCGACAAGCCCGGGTTTTCAGTCAGAAAGGCTTTACCCGGGGCGGGCAGGGCGGGCAGGGCAGCAGGAGCCGCCCCGGCCCTCACAGCAGCCGCAGCAACAGCAACCGCCCGGGCTCGAGGCATCAACCCCTTCCCGCCACACCGCGCCAGCCAATCAGCGCCTGCTTCGC